TGTCATATTTTTTGCAAAAACAAAATTTTGCAAAAAGTAACAAAAAAATTATCGACAAAATTCTGCGTTAGTTGACCTTTTTGCAAAATTTTGTATGGAAGTCGCTCTTTTCTGCGTTATTTTAACGTTTAACGCAGAAATTAACTGAAAAATTTCTACATGGGTACCAATGATAACTTCGTTTTCACCTTTTTACATTTGTTGTTTTTAAATCTTTCTCTAGATAGGTAGAATTTTAGAAGCTAAATATGGATGTGAATTACGAGATGAAAGCAAAAGAAATGTTCTGAGGAATACAAAAAGAACAATGTCATCAGGCTTGTATCAATCTTCTGTAAAACTTTAAGAACAATTGCAGCGAAATCTACTTTTCTTTAACTGAAGGTCCAGTCTCGGCCGCGTTGTCGTCATTCCATCCCCAAAAACTTTTTAAATTAAATGTAGTTCAATAATCAGCAGCATCAAATAATCCATGGTTAAATAAAAGACCAACAGGAACTCCTAATCAAGATCACATTCAAGAAGTGATGACAATAAAAAGAACAACATCTACTAGTAGTAAAGCAAAACATTCACAATCAGGTGAGGTAATAGATACCATGCAAAATTGTTTGCTTAATTTGATCGTTTATAATGATTCAACAATAGCAGTATTAAAAAAATATACCGTTGATTATTAAAAAAATCAGAACGATTATATCAAAAAGATTAAGAAATTGGCAAAGCAAGATAATAAAAAAGAATATTTATGAAACATTTACAAAGTAAACAGTATCGATATAGCTGTAGAAGGTTTTACCAATCAATAAAAAGAGCAAAAATGATAACCACCATATTTTCGTGTCATAGAATCAAAAGAATTAATACAAATTATCATTATTCTCCAGAATCTCATTAAGAAGGACTGCATTACAGCAACAAATTGACTTTCTTACTTCAACTATTAAGTGATGTGTTTTTGAAATTAGAAAATGAAGTGGCAAAGAAATTGGCAATTACTAATTTAGTCAATGTTGCAGTAACCTACAATTTGCAATGATACCAAAAAAGTGCCTAACATGAGTCAAAAAAAGGTTTCTATTTTCTCGTATCAATTTTTTATGTAATTATATAATCTTATCCTTTTGAAAACGTGTCTTTTTTACCTATCAATAAACTCATAAAAATAAATGAGTTGATTTTCACTTTTGTAGAAAAATAAACATTACTCATAATCTGATGTGAACTATTCATAGTTGAGAAAATAAATTCCACTACGAAAGAAGCAACGGATACAAAACAAAACAGATATCAATGGAAAAAAGTATCTACAAATACGTAAGAACTGTTAAATGACTGTCTTTGTTCGTAAAGCCACTAAATCTGGCATATATATCGATTTTCTGATCTTGTGAAAGTATGATGACGGAATTTTTTGTTTGGCTCCATCATGCATGGTTTGTGAGATGTCGCCACAATAGTGACTAAAATGGGACTGTTGGTAGCTCCAAGATTTCTCAGCAACGAAACGTTATGGGGCGCTCGGGCTGGTCTTAAATTGACGAAAACACATGTGGCTCGAGGCCAATGGAGCCGGATATTTTACTTTTGAAATTAATGGTGAGCGTCAAAAGTCCAAAAGTTCAAAAAAGTCTCCTTGACTTTGGTAAAGATGTTTTTCTAATCACAGATCTAGACCGAATATCAATCGGTCTCTGTTAGCCTCTAGCCACATGTGTCAGCTTCAATTTGAGACCTTCCCGAGCTCTCTGCGATGTTTCATTACCGAAGAATCTTGGAACTTCGAAATGGTGTTAAGGTGAGAGTAGCTTTCGAGATATGGTGGCGCCAGCATCGAATGCAAGTTTTAGGGCTTCCAGCACAACTCTCATAACTCTTGATCAAAACAACAATCAGAGCTGGGAAATAGCTCATTTTGATCAGAAATGATTGTTCTATTTCCTGATATGAGTAAAAGTAGTTTTCAATTTGCTTTTTAATCATAAAGTAAAACGTTTTCGAAAAGTTATTTTTTTAAGGTCTTCAGAAAACTTTTCTAAACGTTTCTAAGATTTATTGCGTCAAATAATCCGAATGCTCTTTCATTTGTTGCCGACAGCAATATTCTGACTTGGTCCAACCATTTTTGTTCAGCATCTTCAGCTCTATTTGATGGTGGTGAACACGTAATTCGGATTCCCAATGATAAGATTGTAATTCAATTAACATCATTTATTGTATTTAATATTCGTGAACAGCCTACAAAGAAGATGAATGATGATAAACAAATGGATGGTAGTGTAATATGTGAACAGCCCATTAGACGGAACGTCCAACGCACATAAACAAGGACATAAATAGTGGCGTAAGCAGGATTTCGGTCCAGAGGGGACTGGGCCCAGAAAATTTGTTAAACATTATTAGAGGTAGTGTGAATTTTCGAGGTATTGAAATTCTCTCAAAATGCACCGTTAGAAAAGAACGTAATCAAGTTTGACTTATTTCAAAAACTGAGAACATTTTCTTCTCATTTTAAAACTCTTTCACTACAAAATACTTGTTCATTTGAACCTCATTCTACTGTCCTTATGCAAACTAACAAACGTTTCAACGACTTTTTGAAAATCGATTTCAAAATGTCTTTCTATGGCTTACACACTTAAGTCGCTAAGTCTTTCGTCTCCCATTGAATTACGCCAATAAGTCTTGATCAATTTCATTTTTGAAAATGTTCTCTCACACATCGCAGACTAAACGGGTAATCTAATTCCATCTGCAATCAACTGCAAAGTTGTTGGAAATGTTAATGTCATTGGTTACAATTCTTTGAATAGATCAAAAACAGTTTTCAGCTGTGTGTTACTTATAAATGGTTCAATCACAAATATTTCATTTTTTACTATACTACTGTTCAATGATAGATGATCCATCAATGGCTGTAAATGAATTTTGGAAATGATTGAAAAAAATTCATTGATACACAGCACTGCTAAAGAAACATCAGAAATTACTAAATTTAATCGATGGGCCATGTAATGAATATATATATATTGCATTGGGCATGATCGTTTGCCGTAAAATAGTGTGCACATCGTTTTGATCTCCCGACATGATATTAGCGTTGAAAGAGATAAAAGCAGTGGTTTTTCCTTGATACAGTATCTGATTTCATGTCGTACCCATCATAGCACTGCGCAATACATTTTTTTGTTTCTGTATTATGTTGACGAAGAAATTCGGTTAGTTCTGCGACTAATGATTTAGCGTCAAAGTGATGTAATCGTACGAAACCCATAAAATACTAGTTAAGATCATAATTGTCGTCCACAAAACGAAGTACAATAGACAGTTGTTTATTTCGACTTGCATCTGTAGCTTCATCGGCCAACAGTACAAAGACATGTCCATTTAACTAGGAATGGATAATATAGATAGAAGACTAACTGAAGATTTCATCAGAGAACGGAAAACCTGTCCCTTACTCTCTTCAAACGTAGCGCTTTCCTTGGAAGACTAAAAAATGTCTGGTCAAGACATTTCGAAGCACGAATCGATCTAGAGCAGCGTTTCTCAAATGAAGTTCCATGGAACCCTGGGGAAGAATCGACTCTCTCCGAGCATCCATCACGGTGCTTATGTCGAGTACCGATTTAATCAGAAAGTTTGGGATTCTTATGTTTTGAAGAGCCGATGAGCAGTAAAGCTCAAATTTTCAGATCATTATGGCTCGGATTTCCTTTGGCCGAGAAATCATACATTCACCGACGAAATTGATGCTTTGGAAAAAAAACTTGAAAAGTCTCCAGCTCTATCCCAAAGGGCCATGGCACATCACTAGAACACAAGCCAACTTCGGGTTTTACACGCTCACTATTCCCTACATGCTGAAAATAGTCTGAATTGAAAAGCCATCTATCATCTTGAAAGGTTCTCCCGTTAGTACTACAATGATTGGAGAATATAGTTAAGATACAAATTTCTTTATTTAATTCAAGTCCGCAACGCTTGTAAGTTTTCTTTACTCCTGTATAAGTATACATTAACAGAATCTCTAATCCTGCCTATCTTAAAAAATATATATAAACTGACTAAATTTCATCTGAAATCATTAACTGAGTAAAGTATTTTTAATTTATTACGCTTTACTCATATAACCGCCGCTGCTGATAGCACGTTATTAATTAAACATAAAATAAAACCACTTCTTAAATATTGTACTTATAAGATAACCATTAATGACTAATATTCTATTCACAAATCTAAATCCGTCTGTATATTAACTATGATTGTGTCGAAACTTCGACCATCTACTGCTTCGAGATGACCAGGCAAATTAAATCCCAGCTATGAGAAAATAACATATTCTTTAAAGCATCTTTCCGCTAAAACATTGATGTCAGTTTCTTATCAAGTAATTGAGCTCAAATTATTTTTGGGTTGTTGTACATTATTAGACTTTTCTTCTCTCCTTGTCCGTGCTTTTGAAAAATAAAATATTTATGGCTCCGGCTCAGCAAATGTTTCCAAAACCAGGGTTCTGGTATAATAAGTGCCCTAAATTTTCTCCAGTTTCAAACTGGCTGAAGCGATGTAGAAATGTTTGTCCATATGTCTCATATTCATGGCATAAGCACCAAACAACGTCGTTTTTCCTACAATTTGGCATGCGGCTTCCAATGTGCATTACAAAATTTTTCAAAAAAGTTTTCTTCGAAATTTTTGCGCTTGTTCTCCCTCTGATGTGATTTTCTCGGGAAAATCTTTTAAAGTCCCTTTGTTTTTCCTCAAAACTGACGTGATAGATGGTTTTGACAAACACATAAGCGAGAAAGCCGGGCGAATTTAAAATAAAAATTATATGTCCGCATGGGATGCCAGCATTGCTCACTATGCTTCGCGCTTTTTCTACATGTGCCCACATGCGTCTATTGTGACAAGCATCCTTGTTTTCTCTTTCTCTGTCCTTTCAACGCAAGTCATTATCCCAAGAAATTACTCTAGTGAGGTTTTGGTCTACAAAACTAAAAACAACCGGTCATCGTATAGGCAAACCAGAAGTAGGAGACTGTTTTGGCCCCAAATTCTAATAATCTCCCAAACGCTTTTACAAAATCATTAAAAGATTTTTGTTGATCTTTTGCATATATTTCTACTAATTCGTTTGTCTCAGGATCTTTCAAAAGGTACATATCTGTTGGTAACATCAGCAGTTTTTCGCCTTCGGGATATGCTTCAAATTGCTCTTTGCCTGTTTCTGGTACAATCGAAGCTTTCCATTCGTTTTCAATTAATTCTTCAAAAAATTCGTTGGTAAACTTTGTTGGATGATCAACCTGCAAATAATAAGTCCTAGATGATTGTTGCAGAAAACCTACTTTGTATATGAGCTTACTTACCCAAGGTCCATCAAAATCACTTCGATCTTTATAACATCTGCCTAAACAGTGTGCACCTAACAAAGCTACCATTTCCTTTTTTCCAAACCCCATTCGTCTAAACTTTTCATGCATTTTTTCCATCGAATCATCTGGTATCGGAAAACGATCTGTCTGTTCCACAATTAACAAATTATTAAAATCAATGTCTACTCTTCCGGGTCGAAAAGGAACTTTTGGTCCACCCATTTCTGAAAAGAGGACGACACCGCAGCGGACATACAAGTCGGCATATGAAATCGAAGGGAATGCTTTTTTAATGGGCTCAAGACGTTTACGAGCTAGATCAAGTCCACCATGCAGAGGATCCGTTTCTGGAAACTCAAGACGCATGTAGGCACCGTTAGAACCGCCCGAGTTGTCTATTTCCGAATAGGTCGCACATGAATGCCATGCAAGACGAACAAATAGTTGACCATAACCATCTTGGTAGATTGATCGGATATCAGCTTGGAAACAACATTTGCTACAGCAATATAATCAATTTTTTTAAATTTTTTCTAACCATGACCCATCTTTCGACTTCAGTAAAAAATAAAATAGACGATCATAGGTATTATCGCTATTTTAATGTTTCAATTTTTACAAGAGAGCTCCATAGTCTATTCTAGACACATTAACGTTATATATAACGTTCTAAACTTGATGTTGAGTAATCATGAGTAATTCTTCACATAAACGAAAGAAAAGAAAAAAGGTTTTACTTCCGTTTTCATTGTGGTACTGTCCCGATAATCAACGAAATTGTTGGTATCATTATCAAGAGGCGTTTAAAATTCAGCAATAATAATAACGTATTCAGGTAAAGCTAGAGTAATAAAAAAGGCTCATAAAAATGATAAAGAAACAAGTATAAAAGCTGCAAAAGGAGACTATAATGGAACCATTGTAATCCCGCATTGAAAAGGAATGACAGAATAATAAAAGCAAAGGTTACAAAATAAAAAACATACAAACATTCACAGGACATTCGAAGAGTATCGGCAGAATTTTAAGTAACAGTAGACAGATAGAGTGTAATGAGTTAGAGAAAGAGCCAGTGCAGACGTCAGGAGTCAGTATTGCTAGTGCGTTTCGCTGTATGTAGGTGAGAGTGAAAATTTCGAAAGACTAGTAGATCCTGCAACAGCATGAAAGATGTGTTAATAAAGATACAGTCGACATTTCAGAGATAGCAAAATATTCAGTTTCTTCTAAAACTAATGAAATAAATTTTATTAAGAGCGTCTCTTTGATAATGAAACGAATGTTTGCAGAAGAAGGAGGACAGAGAGCGTATACTGGTTAGTCAATCAGTGCTATACTAAAAGAATAAGCACTAGTCACCGGTGGAGGCTACCGATAGAAAAATGAATTGAGCTGGAATCAAATGAAAGAGCTCGTCGAGTTCTGTATATTCCGATGAAGGAAAGTTATGCTACTTCTCGGGGTCTTGAGATAGAGATTTCTGAAAAACTCGGTTTTCTAGAAAATCTAGTCATCCTAAAGTTTCTTTCGGAGAACTTTTTCAACCATATCATTGCATAGCCTCTTCAATTTTGCACAAAATGAGATCAGTATCGTATTTTCTATGGGATGTTTTGTCACAACATGCTCTTTCATTATGAACACCTTTCGAGAAGATCTGAAATGGTATCGCTTCTCGTTCTTATAGTACTCCATTCTTTAGGGTGAAAATGCGATGTTTTTATTAGTTTTGATTTTTCAGTATGCAAGAAGCGCTTTCGAAAGTTGTGCATAGAAAAAGTGCTGGAAATTAAATTATACATACTATTGTCTCTAGGTTCAACTCTGAAAAATGTATACTTCTTGGTGAATAATCCTAATTACACTAATTTAATTAAACTCCTTCAAGTTATTTTTAACATTGAGATAGTTGATTTGTTCCTTCAAAAAGATTAACAAAAAAAGATTCATGTAAAATACACATAACGCAAGTAGATCATATTAGTAGAAGACGGATCGAAAGCATTCCATTTTGGTAGAAAAGTCATATAATAACAGAGTGCATATTTGGAGTGAATAGAATCTAATAATTCATAAATGGATAGAAGCAAAATCACGAGTTTGAGAAGGACTCCTGTACACTTGTAGCCAGATCGATGGTCGAATACATTGCTTCCAAACGTTATTACACTGACCATCTCAATTTGTTATGCTGTCTACACCGCTCTTACGCTTTTGCTAGACGACTATTATCAGCGCCAAAATACAGTGCAGATTGCCATTTGTTTAATAACTGAATAACAGCGTAAGATAGAACGATGCGGTTTTCAGCAGTCGAAAACAGACATCTGACGCGAGCTTTTCGCAAGCAAAAATGATTTTTAAAAGGAATTCTGAAAGCAGTTCTTCAGAAAATCTTTGGAAAACCAGTTTGGATCTCTGAAAACTAACAACGAAATGCGTCGGTCATTTTTCACAGATAGATAGCCCAAAGTGTTTTCTTCAAAACAAAGACTAAGCGAACTCTTAGTTTTTGTGGAGATCCCGTACAATATTTAAGCGTTAATGAAACTTTTCAATGATTTCAGTTTTCTGAGTTGAATTCTGAAATTCTTTCAAAAAGTGTATCGTGGATTGTATTTAGCTTTTTAATCCGCTATCCAGTGACATGCTGAATAAAACTTTTAAGTTTTTTCAATTTTTTACAGTAGTAGAGAACCTAAAGATGGAACCGTTTTCCAACAAACTTCAAGTCCTGTTTGTAAAGTGTATCTCTAAGGCGGAATAAGATCTGATCCAAAAACATCATAGTCAAAGTATTGAGTGCATAATCCACCAGACATAATTTAAACAAAACCTTTTGGTGTTTAAGTACAAAGAGCAGCATGAGTCATTTTGTGGCCCCCGCAATCCGGCATAAAGCATTTATTCATATATGCGCTCTGCATAATATATTACGTATAATTCAAAATGAAAAAACGTAATAGATAAAGCTGTTATTCATTTCAATAAGAAAGTGTGTTGTTAAAGTAAACTTGTCACTTTTATCTAAGTAAATAATAGAAGTTCTATAGTGAAGCATCAACAGATTGCTTTTGCATCATGAGGACATTGCACGACTTGGATTCATTTGTTTGGAACTTTATTTACCTGTTGTAACAGTAATAAATGCAAGTTTCATCACGTTGGAAGCGTTTTAACATATGGTGCAAAAGTAATGGCAATAATGTCAAACTCTGTTAGACCGTATTACCGACTTTTAAACCAATCAATATAGATAGATGTTATCTACTCGCCGTGAGTTTTCAGAAGATATGAATTGTTTATGGTTTAGGCATTTTTTAGTGAAACTTCACCATCAAAAACCCAAAATATTCAGGAAAGACTTATTTCATCTAGATACACGTCCCCGAGAGCCGGCGAGCGTCTTTAATACGAACAAAGGTATTTAAGTGGTGAGAGGAATGTTTTAGGTTTTCAATGGTGGACTTTTACTAAAAACTGTCTAAACCATAAAAAATTCATATCTTCTGAAATTTTTGGCTTACAAGTCTAAAAATCTCATGGCGAGTAGATAACGTCTATCGTCAGCAATGCTGAAAGTTTCAGACTTCTAAATGGTCAAGGTCGTGAGTTATTAATTAATTACTATTAATGGCATTTGCACTAATTAACTCATATCTCGGTTGAAAAAGCGCATGGACCCAGATCCGTTGGAGGTTATTCATATCTTAGTGGTATCTATCTACCCTGAAAATACCAAACGCTCAAACGATTTTAATCATTTAGCGATGTTCCCTCGTAAGTTTTCTAAATTGAGCGTGTTTGTGTAAATAACTGGGCAGGATCACGAGTGAGTAATGTTAAAACATCAAACTATACCGCATTGATCTAACATTTAACAAAGCGTCAAACTCTCTTTCTAATTCTGATTCCGAATCACTCAAAATTTCCTCGATTTCCATTTGATTGAGCGTCCTTGTTGTTGAAGTTACCTTACTTAGAATGAAACTGATGAAGCTCGAACTGTGAGCTCGTAAGTGAGTGTAACGAGAACAGAACAGGTATATATATATAGGGGCAAGAGAGAGAGTAAGAATCTTCTCGAAGATTCCAGAAAGAGAACGTCAAGAGAGAGATCACGACATCATGTTCAATAAAAAGGAGAGAAAAGGGGAAAGATATGTACAAGTTGCAAGGAGGAACCTTCATGACTTTGCGAGTCATAACACGAGTGTGTGAAAAAAGCGGTCTCAACGTTTACTTCGAAGAGACGCAAAAAAATTCGAATTCTCACACGTCAGATCATGTGAAATTCCAAATGACGTTTTAAAACGTCACCCGTCCCGAAAGGGTTAATTATAATAGAACACCGCCGGATATGGAGATAACCAAAGTTGTTTTAAAAAAAGTCAAAAAACACAAACATGTAGGAGTTTTACTCACCAAAAATCTGGACTGTAAATCTCATCAGGTACGTTTCATCAAAATGTGAAAAAGTGTTAAGCTTAATGAAAATATTCAAGAGAACATTCAGCATTTTTTCAGTATTGTTTTAATATAAACCATCCATAGGGCGATTCTAAAAACCTTTTTGTGTAAAAACCCTTTGTTCCTTCAATCTTTCTAAACTATAGCTGATGATGATTACAGTTCGCAGCCGAAAGTCTGAGCTTTTTAAATAAAAAACTAATGATTGTTGTGTGCATACAATTGTTATTATCTGTGCTAAATTATATTAGAGCAAACAATATTGACAAAACTAAATCAAAAATAGTCAAAAACAATTGCTATAGCAGATTGAAAAAAATCAAAAGCAGCCGAATCGCAACAGATGACAGGACGAGATTGCTGAACCTCTCCTATGACGTCCAAGTGAATTTTCTTTTGTTTCATATAGCATTCGATAGAGCAAGATTAGAGGAACAAAATACACACAGAAAAAGTTTTGAAGTCGCCATATGGATGGTTTGTATTAAAGCAATACTGAAAAAATGCACGTTAAAAAAATGGAATTTTCAATTTTTTATTTTTTAGTATTTAATAGTTAAACATATTATTAGATCTAATTACATGATTTTACAGATTAAACATTCCTCTTTCAAATGAGATGTGAACCATGAATAAGGATATGATAGTTTTTGAGAAAATCAAAGAAAATCAAAAATATGAAAAGTTATGAAAAATGGCGTTTTTTGAGAGCATAGGTGCTCTCAATAGAGTGTTTTAACAAAGCACTTTCAGACAGCTGTTGCAGGTTTGGTAGTTTTTTTGAATGCTTCGAATGAGACATAAACAGGAAAAAAGAAAAATTGGAGGTTAAGATGGTGGAGCTGTTTCGGAAGCTCTCTCAAAAGAGATTCAATAATCACCATGTCTGTTTTTGA